CGCATGTTCTATTCAAATACTATAATAAAGCTAGAATGATGTATAAAAGAAATTAAGCAAACAAAACAAAAAAGAAACAGTTTTTCACAGACGATTGAGTATTTCTCATTTAATTAATTCAGTTCTCACTTTGCGAGAAGGCAAAAATATATAAGAACTCAAAATATCTATATTAAAAATTACGAAGTAAATAACACTTATTTCCTCGAAAAAATTCCAAAACGGATTAAGCGTGATTTAAATAATAAATGAAGGCGTTATCTTTGTTGTTGCGAAGCTAAGTTTCTCTAGATTGGCAACAAATCCACTAGTCTCCTGTTTCAAATGTAAACATCAATGGCCGCCATTAAAAAAGGCTTAGCGGCAATTAAACAACTTTAAAATTGCTGATAATTCTAAAAATATTGCACACAGATTTACTAAAGGCATAAAATCCTTAAACGGAAGATAAAAACAACATAATTCAATCATTTTTAAAGCGAAAAATGTACAATTTACCAACATATAAGAGTAAAGAAACTGAGATCACTGAGCCGGGTAACAGAGTGGATATGTATATAAATATATTTATATACGTTTGGTGCGGCCGATTGCAACCAAAATACGAGGTGCACATCTACATGTTATAGCAGTCCTATATACAAAATTTCAACGTTCTGAGGCTACTCGTTTTTGAGTTATGCGAGATACGTACGTACATACATGCGTTCGTACAGACGCCACGAAAAATTCTCTTCAGAATTAATTTTAAAGCAGTTTTATAATTTTTTTTGAAGGAAAAGAGTATTTTATTCCGTCCTTACGTACAAATATCATGCAAAGACATCGTTAAATTGCATTCGATAGCGGTCAAAATGGATATTTTCGTTGAAATATGCTGCCTGAAACTTTTCGCGATTACAATACTTCCTTTTTACTTCGTACAAGGAAATAAAAACAACGAACATAACATTCTAAAAAATAAAAACAATAAAATAAAATGCATTTACCATAATACATACGTGAATAAAATTTCGCCAGTCACACAACGTCTTTCAACAAAAGTGCCACGATTTTGTTATATCACATGTCTTTCTGTGATTCAGAATTTCGAAAGTAAACGATAAAAAGTTCCTCCAAAGTTAACTTACTACACGAAAAACCATTATCCAAATCTTAAACTCCGCTGACAGCTACATACTTTAGCAGCGACCATTTGACTGCAAATCCACACAAGTCTATCAGAAACACCATTCTTCGTCCGACTTCTCATATCAGCTCCGCATTTCGGACACGCCAAAACTCCGTTTTAAAAGTCCTGACTCCCACAGAAATTCCAAAAATGCACTTCTATCTGCATAAACACACAGGTGAACAAAAGACTCGTTAAGAACTCCAACATCGTACCTTTTTATACTAAATTTACTTTCCACATAAACTAAAATACGCGCTTGAAATCTTGCCACCAAGTTTCAACATCTAAAGGGTTGCCATACAAACAGCATCGTTGACCAAACCATCCTACAGAACGGAATCGCGCCAAAAACCAACGCAAAACACATATCGCCACATTTGGTGATCATAGGGCGCATATAAGAGTAGAGCCTTTTAATCTTATGATATTTTATTCTTGCGATTTCAAAAATAAAATATGTGACTAAAATATGAATAACAGTTTAAGAAACTAAATGTAGGATGATAAAATTGTGTAAAGCAATGGGAACAATGTTAAAGCTATATAAGGTATTTCTCCCGCCTTCTTATCGACCCTTCGTGGTGTAGTGGTCAGCAGACTCAGCGCGTAATTGAGAGGTCCTCGGTTCGATTCCCGGAGAAGTCGCTGCTAATTTTTCATCTCTTCTGCTTCTAAAAAATACCTAATGTCTCTACAGCTATTTAAAGCAATACATGCAAGTCATCTTATGTTAAAATTTCGGTTTTACATCTCTCTTATTTAATATCTTTTTTGAACGGAAAATTGAAAGGCGTGTTAACTGTGCTTTACTGTATTTTCTCTTTTAATATATTCAGTTTTCAGATGCATCGTAGTCTGGGACACAAATTAATCTTCCGAAAGAAACGCAATTTAAATAAATAAAATTATATCCTGGAAAATTTATATTAATAAATATATTAAATGCTTAGTTCGAAATAGAATATTAAGTAGAAAATTTTAAAACAATTATCTGAAGACAATGCAACCAAACAATTAAAATGAAAGTCTAAAAATTTAAAAATTACCTAAAATAATAACTATGACAAAAAATAAATTATAAAGAAAACTATTTGAAAAAAATAAACGATGCACCTTTTATTTAAACTACGAAGTTCGAATGGGTAAATAGAAAATTTATTATTATAATTATAATTAAAAATATAATATAAAGAACATTATTTGAAAAAAGGAACGATTGTGACTTTTTTTTCCGCTCACGGGAAAGGAAAATTAGGTTGCCATATATTAAGAAGTTCGCCAGGTTCTTGGCGCGACTGAAAAAAAAGAGCCAGCATAAATTTGTGAATTTCTCCGTAAATTTCGCACCAAATTTTACAAAATTTCATATTTAAGCATAATTTGAGTCGTAGAATGGAAATTTGGAAAAAAAAATTGGTATGTGTTTTCAGAAAAGTCCAATTTTGTGTCAAAAAACCTATGTTAGAATAGTGCTGTATGTAAATCTAATATACATATCCTAAGTCGCGATTTCGAGACATGAAAAACGCAATTTGAATTTTGTCAATCGGCCCAGTAGAACGGGAGATATATAGAACTGCCCCCCCCCCTTTTGTTTTCACACTATACCTACTAATCCATCATTATTTAATAAAATAATACAGATGAGCACGGCAGCTTATTTTTAGTACCAAATGTGTCTCAAACTTCACTTACTTTTTGTCCGTAATACTTTTGAAATATTGCCACCAAATGCTATCGCTATGCATTATTTTTAAAGAAATAATATAGCATTCATAAAAAAATATATGTCAACACAAATAAAAGGATATTGCCACCTTCGCAAAGTAACGGAAGATGACTTTATCTTGGAAAGTTGTTCACGTTGAAAACTTGTAATTTCATAACCTCTCCTCTTGTAGTGTTGTCATTGGTCCTCTATAATTCTGTTCTTTGCAAATGTTTTAGGCCGACAGTTTTTGTCACACATGCATCGTTCCAGTGCCATGGTAGTTCGAAGTGCTGATTAGTTTGCGCAAGGGAAAAAAAAATGCGTGTTGCCTTTCGGAAATTTCGAAATTTGTTCGCTGTAACCGTAACAGTAAGAGCTCTGTTGATTTAAGTTATCACAATCTCAAGCGTATAGCTTCACATAACAATATCTGAAATTTCATTTCATTTGGCTGAACGTATAGACCACAACGGGTTCATATATTGAGAAAATGTTTTTATGACTCGCCTGTATATCTACTATCAGTATGTAAAACTCTGTGAAACTTTTAACTTACGGTATTACCATGATGTACAGTCTTTGAACTGACATGATTCATAAAAAACAAATTATTCGACAGGGGTAGTGCCTCGTGCACAGGCATTAGTGACAGGGTAGACAGGGTCGACAGGGGTAGTCACTAATGCCAATCCAAAGTCGATATGGAAATATTTTAAACATTCACGCACCAGTTTGTTGCCTTTTGGTAAAGCATAAGATATTTAATTTTCCTTTTAAATTTAATTTCCCAGTCACTAATTAACAAACTAAAAAATTTAAAAGCAATTCGCGCAGTTCATTACATCTTTTATTAATTACCAGTTGAAACCGTGAAATGATACTAACTGGATTTATTAAAAGCATTATACATTTTTATAGCAACTATTCTATGCGGCTGGCTGAGCAGCGGCTAATTAGCTAAAAAGTGAAACGGATAACAAAAATGATACGACACAATAGTGAGATTCGAGAATAATAGCTCTTCTTGACAAAAAATGTATGGCAACACTTAACCCCATATCGAAAATTCTAAAGATATGCTGTTTTTTAAAAAGCTTGCGATTTTGCTGTTGAATTTTATATGACGTCAGTGCGAAGAAAGAGATGGTTAATAATAAAGTTAAAAAGACGAACAAAACTGTACAAGTCACCTTATTAAGAAAACATAGATTTCATAAAATGAGAAAACCTAAAAAATAAAGCAGTAAATTGTGAAAAACCTAAGCAAAATACTAGTAAAATGTTTGACAAATGTTTGACTGAAAAACGTAGTCTAATGTATGGCAATATTTAACACTATGTCTGAAAAATCTAAAAATATGCTGCTTTTAAACAACAGTGAAGGCATAAAATAAAGAAATTTGCGACTTTACTGGCGAATTTTATGAGGCGTAACTGCGAAGAAAGAGATGTTTACTGATTAAGTTAAAAAGATAGGAAAAATTGTTTTAGCTGGAATTTAAGAGCATGTTAGCAAACTGCAAACTCAGATGAGAAAGACGAAACGAAATGATATATTTACCTAAAAAAAGACCATACATAAGCAAATTATTTTTCGAGCTGTCCATCAAACTGTACTCCAAGCGGGTATACCACAAGCATGGAAAAGAAATTTTGCGATTATAAATTGTATTAAAAATTTTGGTCCAAGTAAAATTTCAACCAAAAATTTTAACCTTATTGAGAGGTTTGGTTTGTCCATTAGTGCAAGTATTACTTCTTCTAAATTAGATAGCATTCATTCGCCCTAAAAGGCATGAAAATTTCCACATATAAAAAATGAAGTATTACTTCTTCTAAATTAGATAGCATTCATTCGCCCTAAAAGCATGAAAATTTCCACATATAAAAAATGAGTTATCTAAATACTTTTTTTATTCTACTAATTTATTCCATGAGCTAACGACCATGATGCGTCAATCCATGGGTCAAGAGTAGCCGATAGATCTTCATTTCTCTACACACGTTCTTTTTTTTCCCCCTTCTTTAATTCCAAGTTGTGTCGTGGCCTCGAAAGATTCAGACCAATCGTCTGCAGCATTTCGTTGCACCCGGCTCCAAAGTACTCCACAAGAACGTCTATGTTACCCCCACCTCGCTTTATTTATGATGCCCATCAAAAGTGGCTGACTTTCACTTAAGTGCATAACGCTAAGACAAAAATCGTCTGCTCATCCGAGAAATCAAACTGGCAACAAGATTTAAAAAAAAAAAAAAAAAAAGGCGAAGGCGAGAATGTGAGTGTTAGAAGCTCTCGAGCGTTAGGAGTGGTATTAACAACTGCCATATAGGAAGCTTAAGTTTTTCCAAGACAAATTTTTTTTGTGGTGGCTGACAGGATGTGTAAATTATTAGTGGTTATTTTGTTATGTTTGCAATTAATTCTAATGTTTGCTTCATCAAATGCCAATGTTTTACAAAGGAAGAGGTAAGCTTGCACAGTTTTTCCGACTACAATTTACATCGACAATAATTAAAATACTGTTAATGATTTTCATAGTATTTGCTTGTTTCAAAAATGAGTTCTAAATTTATATTGATGAAATCAAGTAAATGTATTCCTACTTAGTGAATTTTATAAACAAATTCGCTTTAAAACATTGGTTGTTTTTACTGTTATCGTTTAACTTTGTTTGGTTTTACTGTTATCGTTTAATTTTAACGTTGAAGAAATATATAACAAGGAGACCTACTGAATTATTAGATGTGCCCAGTTCTGTTTCTGTATGGCAAGTAGGTTACCGAAAAAATCATGTTCGTAAGTAATTCTTGTAACTATAAAAAATCACATATTTTCAAGCAAATGAAATCCTTTAAATTTGAATTTTAGATCACTTCAATTAAGTTTTTAATTTGTAAAAATAGCAGTCAGCTACTGATTTGCGAGTATAATACCTGTGACGACGTCCACTATTAATTCGAGGGCTGTTAAAGAAAACTTGGCAAAGAGGAATAACCTATGTTATAATTAACTGAAAAATATTACAAATAATTTACTTGTATTTTGAAACAATTTTATCGTTAGAAATAAAGGTAGCGTGTTATAAATATCAAAGAACAATATTTGTAAGAGAACCTGAATAAAGCCATCCAGTTTAAATTCGCTTAAAAATTTGACTAGAACTTTTGTTTTTTTTCCTCTGTACGAGGTTTACGTTAACATTTAAATTACGTGCTATAGTGGTCAAAAACAACTCCAGAACTGCTCTTTGCTTTAATTGCCGTTATCCGTTTAATTTTCCCCTTCCTTTTTGCATATTCTGCACACGATTTATTTTACGTCGGTGATTTGTGACTATAATTTCACCTTTGTTCCGCAACAAAGAAAACTTAATATTTTTTTCTTTCGCCCTTTTTATCGGAGGGAACGCCCGGTTAATTTGTCCCCCATCAAAAGGGAATTGACAGTGTTAACATATCAAAGTGCATATAGTAAAGCAGTAGTCTTCAATGTGTGTTCCACCGAAATCCGGGGTTCCGCCTACCAAAATAAAAATTAGACAATCTGAAAAATGAACCGACATTTATAGTGAACCAGCACAAAATGCCAAAACAAAATAAGAGCCCTTCTGAACTCACCTTTTGGGCTAAAAATCTGAAAGCTTTCAGATTTTACATTACGTACAAAGGGACTTTTTTTAACGTTTTCTGTGTAACCTTTATTTATTAAATATCATGTTCTTTGCACTTAAACCATGAAATTCAGTTCAACAGCAATATCGCAAAATAATTTTAAAATGAGCATATCTTTAGAATTTCCGATATACAATCTCGCGCGCTGGAGATAATTTTTTTTCCGTACAGTTTTGCCATTGCTCACTTTGAAATCGTTGAGTTTGTTAATCAAAAATTCGTTGAATTTTACAAAATATGAAATGTATAAAAAACAAACTCCAAATTCCAAATTTGAGCTTCCAGATGCTAGTATTCGGGTCGAAACGTACGTTATTCAAAATTGGTTGGCTCTAGGTACCTTTGTTTTATCACTAGAAACATACATACATTTATGCAGATTCTTCATTATTTAATTTCTTTAAATATAATACAGGGCGATAATATTTTGTGGCAACAACTTGAAAAGTGAACCAACGCAAAATGCCAAAACGAAGTTAATAGTCCTTCTAGGGAAATTGCCTCTTTGGACTAAAACGAAAATTATAAAGCACTTTGTTGATTATTATTTATTAACTGTAAAATATAATGTTACATTTAGTTACATATTAGTTTTAAAACTTAACATTTGGGCATCTTATGTTAAAGTGAATGTCGAGCAATGGTTAGCAAAACTAAATAGTTTCTAATGGAAAATTAATTGAATCTAGACCAAAAGGTTAAATATGATAAAGTGCCGCACCTTTTTCTTGAACAAAACTATAACAGAAAATTTCCCAAGAGAAAAATAGTGTGATTCGATAAATTAGTATGATTAGTATCATCCCAAGTACTTCAGAAGGCTTGCTAGTGAAGATCTTACCGACATATCAACAGATTCGACGTTAAAATCTACATTTAAGCAAGATCAGCTCCTAAATTTTTTGTAGATTCATGCAGATTGCCTCTCACAAAACAAAAAAAAAAAAAAAAAAAAAAACTTTACTGCCGTTTGAAACAACGCATTTAAATGGAAGTTTTTTTCTCAGCGTATGTGGCAAAAATAAAGTATATATAGAAGCAGATTAACTACAGAATAGGAATTGCGACTGCAGATACCATTTATGAGATCTGGACTTGAGCAGTTTGTATAAAAAAATGCAAGGACACTCTTGTCACTAAATATAATGCAAGAGTAATACTATTAATGGGTAAATTACATTAATTTTATGTTAAAAATTTGTTAATAAAAAATAAAATACTTTCTTTTGTTTTTAGAAATAAAGTACCTACAACATACTGATCTATTTTAAATAATTTTAAGATGTATTTTTCTGATGGTGGGATAGGGCTCCTCGAAGAAATCTAGTAGTTCTAAGGGTTTTATGACTCGACAAAGTTTGAAGACGTAAAGTAACTTCCGTCTTCACAAAGCAAATGCACTATAAAAATTGTCCAAAATGTATAAATTCCTCTCATGTGAAAGAGATAAACCAAAATAGATCTATAAAAAGCGATCCTGATTCTTTCTGTACCTTACTGAATCAAAATCGTGTAAAACAATTGATCACATATATTAACATACATACCCTGAGAGAATTTCATGCGATTTACTTTTATTATTACGGCAACTTTAAAATCAGAACAAAAGCATTTGCAGTGTTTTGTAAGTTTTATTTTCTTAATTTTCTATTTCACATGTCTTTTTCAGCTATAAAATTTTAAATTAAATAACAATGCTAAATTGAACTTGATATATAATAAATAAAAATAGAAATAAAAAAAAAATTGTAATAGAAATAAAATTTTCCCAAATAGAAATAAAACTTGTTACATTAAAAATTTCAGGAGGTTAAAGGCAAAAGAAGCGTTTTTCATTAATGCTTTGTTGTTTGGTATTACGATAGAGTTTCGATTATTCTACTTTTAAAAATTTATTTCTGAATTCTTGATTATCCGATATTCCATTTTAACCGACATACTGTTAAAATCTAATTTGAACCAGAAATAATAATTATTCAGGGAATAAATATTCAGGTTTAAAGGCTGGAAGGGATAAGGCCACAATTCCGTAAATATGGAATCTGCTTTTTCTTTGCCATGAAAATCTTTAAAATAGAACAGTATTAATTGATCATCAAATTTTTCAATCATAGTGAGTATGGTAAACGTTCAGAGTGACTGCCTCGAAGTACAATCGTCTTGATTCAAACAGGAAGAGCGAAAGCAGGAGCGAAACACAGGCGGAAATGATATAAAATAACCCATGCTTGGTCAGGCCTTGGTCAAGATCCACGAGAACCAATCAGAAAGCGTCTTGAACGGGATTGCTGCCCTGTAACGGCCGTTGCTGAACTAGAAAGACTGCACTAGGAACTTCTAGCATGTTTCTAAATGTTGCAATCAAATGGCGGATACGGTATGACATCAGAGCAGGGTGAGTTCTGCGTCAATAGATAAACGTGTACATGGAAGATTACAACATAAACAAGATGAAACATGTGTCTGACAGGATACAGTTGAGCCATGTATTTGATAACCTAGCAGCGACACGTTCCCCTGAGCCCCTCAGTAAATTCCTTCCGCCCGTGTGCGCCACACAGCAACAGCGCCACATTGCCCAAAACCGCTGTATTCTACCTACTGATAACCCTCGAGGCTTTGCGTAATTAAATAAACCAAACTAAACCGTTCTTGGCTAACAAGAGGGGGTGCGAATTCTTCAGCTGCACATCAACTGTCTTTCCGCTTTCCATGCCAAGTCAGGTTTCTAAAGTACAATTTTAACGAAATGAAAACTTATTTTCTACAGAATAAGGCACACAAATAATTGAAACCACTCTCCAAGTAAAGTAAAATATGCTTTTATTCTGATCTCTTTCAAATTTTGAAAACGTATTCTTGTAAATTATAATTCAAAGGTTTTGTACGTTCATCGCTGGCGAAGTAAATTTTATAACAATATTAGGTAGCAATGAATTACAACGAAAAACATATTCATAAACTTTTACATTTGTATTCCTTTTGCTATATATCTTAAACTGATTTCCAGTACAATAATTAAGATTGCAGCTGCTATCGAGCCATATTTACATTTAAGGAAACTAGATTTATATATTAAACCTGTACACCAACACTCATTTTATGCAAATAATACTATACGTGTTAATCTTAGGTTCCTTTTTCGCTTTTTTCCAGTCTAATTTTATATATTTTTTCCCCGAACTAACAAAGGCAATAAAAAAATTCGTTTCATTTCTTCAACAAAGTTTCAATGCAATATCCAGCACACATGCCAGTGATAAATAGAGAAAGAAGAAGACGGATGCCCGTCTATTGCTTTACGTGACATCGTTTTTTATAATAAGAGAGTTAATACGATAAGCGCAATAATGATTTTTAAGAGTTTCTTTATGTCCTGTTGTTGGCACTTCAAAATTTGGCTGTTGTGCTGGTCCCTCAGCAGAAATATCCGTGTTATTTTTTTCTTCATTCTCTTTTAGTTTTCTTTCAGTGTATTCATTCACTAACGCGTTGATAAGGAGTACATCAAGAGGATCGTCTTTAGGGTCAAAAACAGGTGACTTGAGTTTTTCCAAATTCGTTTTAATAAGAGTGACGTCTTCGTCTTCTCTTTTGCATAATCCTTTTTCTTTATAGATATTTAAAACCATATATAAAAGTTCCTCTTGTTCTGCATCCCTCAGTTCGTAGTGAGTTTCGACATATTCACTTGAATTATTCTCCTGTTCGAAACCGTTAATGACATTTTCTAAAGAATCCGGCATTTATAGTTGAAATTCCGTGAGCGACGTTTTCTTTCAGTGTTACTGTATT